TTTTCATAGCCCAGTTTTCCAGAGTGCATTACTGCATGGACTCTTTTTTTCGTGTCTGATAAAGGCCTTGATTGGTTATAAATCTGTAAACAGTCGACTTCAGAAATCACACTGTAAAGTGTTTGGGGTTTGGGGTTTTTTCCATTTTTTTCTGTCTTTACTGCTAGCTATTGACTTTGAACAGACTATGCTGGTTTTGGCTAGGATAGAGTTAATTTTCTTCACAGTGGCTTATATGGGCTATGTTCTGGATTTGTGCTGGAAACAGTATTGATAACACAGGCATGGTTTTGTTATTGCTGAGCAGTGCTTACATGAGACAAGGCCTTTTCCGCTGGTTATACTGTCACACTGGTGAGAAGACTGAGGGTGGATGGGAAACTGGGAGGAGACACAGGCAGGGCAGGTGACCCCAACTGACCAAAGGGATATTCCATACAATATGACACCATGTTCAGTATATAAAGCGGCAAGGACAGGAGAAAGAGGAGGATGTTTGTTTGGAGTGATGGCATTCATTTTTCCCAAGCTACCATTAAGTGTGATGGAGCCTTGCTTTCCAGGAGATGTCTGAACACCTTTCTGCCCATGAGAAGCAGTGAATTAATTCCTTGTTTTGCTTTGCTTCTGTGAGCAGCTTTTGCTTTCCCTATTAAACTGTCTTTATCTCAACCTATGAGTTTTCTAGCTTTTACCTTTCCAGTTCTTACCTTGATTCACTGGTGGGGGAGTGAGCAAGCAGTTGTGTATTACTTGGTTGGTGGCTGCAGTTAAACCACAACACAGATCCGTGACGGTTGAAGTTCTGATTCTGGTTACCACATTCAACATGTGTGGAGCTAGGTTCCCATCCATCTCTTCATAAGACATACTCTGTAGACAGGAAAATTCTGTACTTCCACTCTTACATCATTTGAAGGATTAATGGAGTGGTTTGCTTGCTGTTTTTCATAGGTCTGTGTATATGTTATTTCTCTCCAAAATACTTTAGTTCATTTGTTGCAGATTCCTGTTATGAGCAGCCTGAAGATCCTTGATGAATTGGTGAAACAATATTGTAGAAATAGCTTCAGTTTAATGGATATTTGAAGAAAAGGTGTTCTGCAACTTTGAAAACTATATTCAGTACTTCAGTTTGAGTGATATATCTTGAAAATAGTCACCTGTAGAAGAGGTTGTGCTTAATATAATACAGAAGCATTAATCTGTAAGTGAAACTCCTAAAATGCCCTTCGTATTTAAATGTTACTTGTGCTATATCAAGAGTCTAGAGAAATACACAAGAAGGATTTTAATTACATATATTTATACTTGGTACTTCCAAAGTTTTACTGTAATGCAGCTTTGTGTCCTCTCTTGATTGGTACAGAAGGATTGTAAAGATAGCATAAAGACTGCTAAGGCATTACCTTTGGGCAGGACGTGTTTTATGATCTTTGTGTTGCTTCTGTACATCAAGCACAGGAAAGGATCTGAGGACAGCAACTATGACTTGTCTTTTTATTTGCAAGGATTTGCACTGAATGAATAAATGGGAGTGTTTAAAACAGCTTTTGCACCTGCCAAAGTGAAATCTAATGTAATATGGTTCATAGAATGCTTATTTTTATATCAAGTTCATTCTATTCTAATTATATACAATAAAAATTTTGTGTCATTCTAATTATACATTATTTAAATCACACATAATAGGAATAGTCAAGAGAATTCAACAGAGAACAGGGAATAAGCTGTTCTACACACATGCTTCTAATGCGTCAGAGTTACTTAACTATTGTCTGGGGCCTTAACATTTCTGAATCCTTTATCTTCTATTTAAAATTTTCTAGATGAAAATCTGATGTGAATTGGTTTGATATAGCTTATTTAATTGCTGATCTGTGGGGTTTTTTTCATGACAGAATTTTTAACTTTTCTCTTTTGTAGTAAAACATAGTCTTAAATCTGAAAAACAAACTGTGGAATCAGTTCCTTTGAGGAACACACCTCTCTGATACGTCATGAAACTGGAATGTATTTAGTCCCGAGAAGTTACCAGTCTCAGTTAAAGATACACCATTTGGCTCCGGATGTTCCGGCACATATCCTTGCGGCCATCTGTTGTGCTGAATCGTTTGCAAAAGTTTGAAAAGAGTTGGGATTCGGTTTTGGTGGGGTTTTCTTGTTTTGTTTTAAAGTTCAATACTCTAGTTCTGCAGGCTTATGCTTGTGCCTGCAATATATTTCAATTGGATGTGCTTAACATGTGCTAGGATTAGGATGTCAAACTGAAGTACAGAGACATGTCTTGCTAATTAGATGATAATTCTTGGTAGCTTCCAAGATCTAGGCTGGACAATTTACAAACAGCAGCTGTGTGGCAACGTGATGGTGTTGCATGAAAAATCTGTCAAACTAATGGTATGTTTCATTATCTTTTTTATTTATTCTTTTTTTTTTATTCCATAGATGTTTAACACAACAATGTACGCCCATATGCAGCTGAACTATATGTTTTTACATTTTATAATGAACTTTTTAATCCATACCCTGTTTTAGTACTTTCTGTATAAATGGAGTGATAATAAATTGATTTTTATCTCTTCAGAAGTCAAAGTATCTGTTTTTTCTGAAAAGATATCTGACACCATGAACTGTTGTCCACCTAAATATTACACATCTCAAAGAAAAAAAAATAAACAGACAAAACAGACTCTCTACTATGGGAAAAATTCTGACATTAATTTTAAGATTCCTGTCTTTAAGCTGGTTTTAAATGTGTAGCACCAGGTTTTACAATACTAAACGTTGTTTGGGGCCATTTTTTGTTTAACTGCTCTGTAGAGATGATCCCAACTGTAATTTTTAATGGGAAAAATATTAGCAATTAAATACACATTTAAAAATAAATATGATAATTAGTCTATGAATGCTATTCACAAAACAGCAGACATATTTGATAGCCCAAATCCTTATGTGCTTTCCTTCTGAATTTCATAATGGCACTGTTTCAAATCAATGTTAATTTATGTAGTAAACCCTCTGTTCTGTAACTTAATAACATACAAACACATTTGTATCCATGCCATATTAGTTATTACAAGGAGGTGTTAGTTTGGACGTAGTACTTTTTGGACTTCAACAGAAGGATGCTTCTTTTGGTAAGAAGGATTTTAAATAGAGTAAAAAACAGCATTGTACTATTTTGGCTTATTAAAAAAAACCAAAACAAAACAAAGTTTGTATGTAACCTAAATTCTGGTGACAATCATAATAATGGTAGTATGTTGAAAAACTTTTTTAAAAGTTGTTTTGAGATCTGTGAACATGATTTATGGAGAACTTGTGGTTTTGTTTTTTAAATGAGATTCTTGTCCAAATAACAATTCCCTACCCTCAACAGGGGTCCTGTTTCCATTTGGTCTTTAAGTATTTAAAGAATACACAATACTGCAATATTTTTCCATATATAGATCAATTTGGCATGCTAGTACACTTCCCTTGCTCCAGCTGACTTTGTGGCACAGTTGCCAAAAGCCCTTTGGGACTTGGCTGAAGAACTCTCACAGCATAAAAGCAAACTGCTTGTTTTTTTAGCTGTAAAGGAAACTCCTGTTATTTTTAAATTAACCTTGAACAGCACAGCTGCTCTCCCCAGTAGATCTACATTAGACTTGTTGAATCAGCTTTTTTTTATTCCATATAACAGAGGTCCTAATCTGCGATTTAGATTTATCCTCACTTCACTTTGACCCTGGCTGAAGAACAAAAGCTGTGTTTCCGGCAGATGAGGTTTCATGTGATGATCTTGTCACGCTGGTGTAGCAACAGAGTATTGACTGCCTTTCACCTCTTCCTCTGGCTTATGGGAAAAAAAATCCCAACAAACAAACAAGAAAAACAACCCCCCCAAAAAAGGAATATGAATGTAAAATGCTACACTGTGGCTTGCAGCTGTAACTTCTCAAGAAGATGGAGTTAGAAGAATGTAAAATGGATGGGCTCCTCTGTTGAGGAGCTCTCGAGAGAGCTGGGGGCCACTCCCACTAAAAGTCACTGATCTTTATTGCTTTGCTAGGGCCTTATTTTGGATGGTAGTGGGGAGTTCAGTTCGCCTCGGAAAGGGGAGAAGGGTGGGTTTTTAGCCACTATCTCCTTGTGTTGATGCCCAGCAGTGCCAGTGAAGAGCGGGTGCTGACAGGCAGCACTGTCTCCTCCTTGTAAGAGTAGAGTGGAGTACTGTGCTCAGTTCTGGGTTCCTCAGTAGCACAAAGACAAGAAGCAACTGGAGAGGGTCTAGAGAGGGGCCACAAAGATGATTAGGGGCCTGGAACATCTCTCTTAGGAAGAGAGAGTGAGGGAGCTGGGCCTGTTTAGTTTAGAGAAGACAAGATTGAGCAGTGATCTCATTAATGCATATAAATATCTCAAAGGGGGGTGCCAAGAGGATTGTTCCAGACACTTTGTGGTGCTGCCCAGCAACAGGATGAGGAGCAACGGCCATAAACTAAAACGCAAGAAGTTCCACCTCAACAGGAGGAAGAACTCCTTTACCTTGAAGGTGGGAGAGCACCGGAACAGGCTGCCCAGGGAGGACGGGGACTCTCCCTCTCTGGAGATATTAAAAACCCACCTGGAGGCGTTCCTGTGTCACCTGCTCGAGGTGACCCTGCCTTGGCAGGGGGGCTGGACTGGATGATCTCCAGAGGTCCCTTCCACCCCTAACAATTCCGTGACAGCGCTGCAGGTGGGACGCCGACACAAAGCACGCCCTCACGCCTCCCAGGCAGAAGGGCGGCGGAGGCCGCTCGGGGGCGGCACCAGCCACCACCCCCGGCGGGCCGGAGCCAGCCCTGGGCTGGGCTTCCCGAGGCGCTCGGCTGTGCCGGGAGCCGGCCCGCGTGCACGCCGGGATTTGCAGTCCTGCCTCCCTCTCCCAGTCAGGCGGTGGGGCCGCCTCTCTCCTTCCGGGAGCGGCGCGCGCCCGTTGGCGGGGACCGGGAGCGGCGTTTGTTGACTTCCTCGAAGGCGGCGGGGGGGGCGCCGAGCGCCGGGAATTCCCCGCAGTGGCGGAGGCTGAGACCGCGGCCGGGCCGGCGGGGCGGGGGGCGATGGGCGCCGGAAGGGCCCCGAGCGGACACCGCGACGGGCGGCGCTGCCTCCCCGCCGAGCCGAGCGCCCGCCGCTGACCCGTCCGGCCCGGCCGGGCCTGGAGAGGTGGGTCCTGGTGCGGGGCGGGGAGCGGCGAGGCTGCCGGGGCACGGCGGCTGTGGGCGGCCCCGGCGGGCTGGGGAGCTTCGTGCACGCTAGAATAGGGGCGGTTCTGGCCGGTCTTTAGTTTCTCTTTCTAAAATAGAGTCGTCCTCGTAGAATCACGGAATTGTTTGGGTTGGAAGGGATCTCTGGAGATCATCCAGGCCAACCCCCTCCTGCCAAGGCAGGGTCACCTCGAGCAGGTGACACAGGAACGCGTCCAGGTGGGTTGTAAACGCCTACAGAGAGGGAGAATCCACGCCCTCCCTGGGCAACCTGTTCCCGTGCTCTGCCGCCCTCAGTGTAAAGAAGTTGTTCCTGCTGTTGAGGTGGAACTTCTTGTGCTTCAGAAGGAGCAGGGTGTCGGTCTTCTGCCGTGCCCCGCCCCTGCCCTTCTTACCAGTCACACTTGGCTGGTATAAGGGGGTTATCCTGCTGGGGGACCGGGAGCGTAGTTTAAAGGTACCACTAACAAGCTGGGAGTGGTCTTTGTATAGGCAATAAAAGTAATTAGAAAGGTGTATCTAATCAAGCTGAAAAACTGTGTGAGTTCTTGGAGCTGCAAGCTTGTGTGTTGGTATAGGGGAATCTGGCAAACAAAATGAACAAATTGGTCGAAGGTGTTGAAACAGAAGCATGATGGAATACTGGGACAGGAATACAGGTGCTGCAGGCTGTGTTGCTTTAGAAGAAGGGAGCACAGACTAGCGCTGAGGTGGTCTTACATGCTAATGAAGCATTCAACTTTTAAGAAATTACAGCTTTAAATCTTGGTGTTTCACCTGGTAGGGAAAATACCCTTATGTACTTAAATAAATCAATCCCCAGCAACTTAGAAGTGAGAGTGTGTGTGTCAGCTGTTCCAGTGAGTGGTTTGAGGAGCTTTTTGTTTCTGAAGGAATCCCTTAATTTCCTCACTGTCTTACACTGTATGTATGCAGTAAAATCAGTGTGCTGGAAGCCAGCTCTGGAAAAAGCAGAGTGAAGGGAAGATTATTGGCGTAACAGTAAAGTCTGCTCTGGGCTCCAAAGATCAAGCTTCTCTTCTGAGACAGAGTTTTCTGAGGAGTGTTGTTATAGACTATGGGAAACATAATTTCCTGTATATTGGTGTATGATCAGATGTTACTGCTGTTAATAATACCAGTTATCTGCTAGTACTTGTATCCTAGCGTTTTGGGAGTTGTAGCAGAATTACTGTAGAAAGCAAAAGAATTCCAAGATTACTACTACTTTTTGTTCTTTGAATAATTGATATTTTATAACAGGACTTGCGTTAGAAGCATTAGATGATCGCACTAAAACTTAAGTATACGACTGTTGCCCCAAGTTCTAAGCACAATTTTTGATCTAAACTCTAAAGTGAGAAGGCAGAAAACACTGGTTGAGTAAACTTTAGATCAGATTATATGGAGGTTTTAGCCACCTCATCCCCCCCAACTTTACATCTTTACTAAAACTACTTATTTTTAGAACCTTGTATGCTACATTTACAGTTCAGAAAAATATAAGGTGACATTTGCTAGAGTACTAGCTAGATTGTGTTTTACAAATAAAATTAAATGGTAAAGAGTTCTTTAAAAGAGCAAAGAGGATGAAGTGACACCTTTGTACAGCAAAAGTGGGTAATAATTTAGAGATAATCTTAAGATTGCATAAATTTCAGCAAATATTCTAATTTGGTTTTCATTAAGTCTCTGTTTTCTATATGGCAGTTAAAAAGTAGGGAAAGGGTGAAAATTATTGGTCAAATACATGAACAAACTGTATTTAGTTTACTCAGGGTGGAGAAGTAGAATAATTTAATCTGACAACACTGGAAAACCTGTGCATGGAGTTGCAAAGCCAGTAACAGTTGTTCATATGATATAAATAGATGTGTTGAATTGGAGATTGTGCATTATGTCTGTAAAATATTAAATGTAGGATGCCTGCTAGGAAAGTGGAAACTCCCTTGGAAAAAGTGCAGACCTGTCACTGCACATGCTATCTGTATCTGACTTCTTTAGAATAGATTTTGAAGAAAATAAGCAAAAAGGTAGAAGAAAACAGGATAAAATGCAATGTGGGTTTAGGCTTTGATAAATGTTTTGATTCTTTCACAGGGATTTTTTTTTTAAAACAGAGGAAGTCTAGATAGATAGTCCATATTGAATAAAAGAGTTACAGTGATAATGAGATCAAGTTTGTTAAGATGGTGATGACAGGATTAACACAAGGGTCAGGCTAGTAACTAGCTTGCTACATCATATGTGTCTCCCTTATGCACAGGTCACTTTGCAATCAGTCTTATGGTTTTGCTGTATGTGTTTATACTATAATTGCATTAATTAACTTATTTACATGGTTACACAGGGTTTCTGTGTGGAGTTCTTAGTGTATGAAATCATAGATGCTACTAAAATTTGACAGGACATTTGGGGAGAAGAAATGAAGTTTGGGAAGGTAAGTGAAGCATAAGTAGCTTGAACGTTCAAAGTCATCCACTTAGGAGCTGCTAACAGGAAGTTGTGTTCAAATGACCAGGTTTGTCTGAAATAATGAGATTTAAACCTGAACACAGAATTGTAGGACAACTCAAGTTGGAAAGGACCTGGGAAAATCATCTTGTCCACCTTCTGGTGTAAAAGGGAGCCTAGATGAGATTATCTGGGACCCTGTCCAGGTTGTGAAAACCTCCAGACGTTATATTGGTGAGTTGCAGGAGGTGACCAAGGGCCATCAGTTCAACTCAGTTTAACTTGCCTTTTAGTAGCTGTAACAGGTGTTTTCAGTTGAATTAAAAGTTAATGCACTTAGATAAGGCTTTCATAATATCACTGAACTTGTGAACTTACTGAATGTTAATTAATCTGGCAGTGTAATTGAGTGGGAGGAAACTTATGACTGGGAGGTAGGACCTACTGTTTGGTTTACAAAAGAAGATATGAAAAAAACAAACCCTCTTAGCTTTCATAAATAGTTGTTCTTTATAAACATTTTGAAATGGGAAGCAATGAACACCAAAAAAATGCCTAATGACATAATATTCAGTGTTAGCATGAGAACATATGGGTTTTTCAGTAACCTTTGAATATACTTATATTTGGTGCTAGAAAGATTTAATAGCCAAGAGCTATCTTGGTCCTACTTGTGTTTCTTTGGCAGTACTGCTCCTAATTAGTTTCAACATTAAATGTAATAGTTTAATAAGCAGGATTATGTGATGCTGAGGGGATAATATTTCATTGACTCCAACTTTTGGGGTTTTTATTTTCCCCCTCTTCTTTTCAGGTAGTTGTCAGGGAAAGTGACAGCATCCGCAGGAAGGCAGATTGATTACATTACATTGGGGACACAAAAGGTTTGCAAATTAGTGATGGAGGCACTGGAGTATGAAACTGTTCAGAGAAAGTAAAATTTATCAAGCACTGTTGTCATAAGATAGGCTTTTTAGTGCTTTTCTAGTTCTTGTGAGAGTACATTAGTTTTTGTAAAAAAGCTTGATATTGAAAAAATTGCCTGTTGTACCTAAGGAGATTTTGCTTGATTTTTCTGGCTTTCCCAGATGTTCATGATTAATGAACAACAGTGATCTGGTTTGTGAGCTTGGAGACGGTGACTTCTGTTTCCTGAAGGCAACGAAACTAAAGTGATTTGGAAGGTCTAGTTTAGCCGATGTGCTGACGTGTTTCTGAAAGAACACCAAGTATGCTGAGGCAGCAGGACTGTGCCCTTGTACGTATGGACTCTCAGGGAGTGCTTTGGGCCTGTGGACTTTGTCCCATATGAAAGGATGAACAGTGGCCAAAGTTAGCAGCTACTGAGATGTGCGTGTAGAGATTTATTTTTTTTTATTTAAAAATGGAGCAAGTATCCGTAAAAAGGGATGTCTTTTTCTGTAGAACAGACTGTTCACCACTGAAATCAAAGAGAACCTAAGATTTCTGAAGGAGAGATGCAAAATGATAGATGCTTTAAGAGACTGGAAGTCTTACTTCTTTTAACATCATGTGTCATATGTTCCATGTGCTGTGTGGAGTTTTTGATGCTGGTTGCAGGAATTCTGTATTATTCCTTGCAGTGCTTGCTTTAAAAAGTGTCTTTTTAAAAAGAAAGAAAAATCAGTACAACTTTTCTGAAATTAAGGTGAGGGCTGCAACATGCTCATCCAAGATTCCTGTGGTTCAAATGCATTTCTTGAACTTGAAGTTTTATTTTTGTGTCTGCATGCATGTATGTGTATATAACCTTCTGTGTAAGGCAAGGTAAATGAGTACAAAAATTATGCTCTTGTTATTAACAGCTGGAGACTGTTCATACTACCTTTATGGAGTCAAACTCCTTGACTCTGGAAGGTAAACGGTAAAGTGGTTTGGACTTCAAAAAACAGGAGAATAACCATCTTAAAATTATTTGCATTTGACTTTTGGAAATATTTTGAAAACAGTTCTGTTCTCTTTCAGATCAACAGATGGGGCAAAATGGGGATCTGCTCCATATTGGGAAAAATTTATTGTAATCCTGCTTTTACTATCTCTCCTTCTGATCCGAGAATAAGATTAGAATTTCAAACTACAGAGATCTGTTTGTGCAGTGGTCTGTTTGCTATTAGAGCTTCTGCATCCCATGTTCCTTCTGTGTAGAATGTGTTTTATATTTAACTACCTCCCATGGTGTTAATGACTAGTATTTGTAAAGCTTTGTAAAGAGAAAAGCTATATTTCTGCCAAGCATTAGTAAGAAATGGGAAAACATTCTTTTTCCTCAAGATATTTATTATATTAAATCAAAGATGTTCTATAACATATGTTGAGTATTAGTGAACAACAGGAGTGGTTTCTGTAAACCCTTCTTTTCTTCACATTTTGTGAAAGAAAACTTAAGTGGTGCCACCTCTTCAAACTCATGCTCTTAGAAAAAGGGAACATAATTACTCCTGCTAGAACTTATTACTCTGTCCTGTTAACAGTGTTGGGGTCTTGTTTGTTTTTAAACATTAGTTATGTAATACAAACACTAGCACTGGTATTCATATAATGTATTTCTTTTTGGATGTGAAGATTAAAGTCCTTTGAAATAGACTTTCACATTCAGATCATTCTAAAAATAAGTATAAATGCAACGTAATTATTACAGGCAGAGTGTTTAGCTAATGTGCTAAAGTAAAGGAAATAAAAAGTAAAGTATTAGGGAGACCTTTCTTATAATGGGATTTGTCATAAGTGGGATTTTAAAGCTTGCATTAAGTAGGCAGAGATGGACATCAGTTGTATTCAGAGACATTAACTTATCAGTATCCCACTTCAAATATTTTAGTGGGAAATCTTTCACTTTTAAGTAATCTGTCTCGTACAGATTATCTCATGAATTGCAACTCCAGAGAGGTCAAAATTCACTCAGGTGCTTCACAGTGACAGCTCTGGGACATTTGCAGCAGTGCATACAAGTGTGGCTTTGATTTGGAGAGGTTGAACTGATTAAAACATAGTAGCAGTCGGTGGTTGGACTCGGTGAGCCATCCTGCGAGCCCTTCTGGCATCCTTCTGCCAGATTCGAGGAGCTGTAACTCCTGGTGTAATCAAAGCACTTCTTTCATTGTTGTTTACAGTTCATGTTTTTTTTAAATGATGTAATATAATACTGGATAACCTAAATTTATATTCCTGTCCTTCAGTAAAATGACAGATTACAGCTGTAGTCAGGGATTTCTTACAGACGTAGCCCCATTTTGTATTATAAGGGTTTCTGTCTATCGTGACAGCAAAAAAAAAGGAGATGGGTAAAATGTGCTTTTCACCATGACCTTTATAGTACTGCTGATCTTAAACTGCTTAATGGCAGTTTGTTGTCAGTTAGTATGCAATATGTTAGTCAAAAATGTATATATCAGATTTTTCTGAAACTGGTATCTTGTGTGTAGAAATTTAGAAAAACATTATTACAAAGCCCCTTTAAATTATGTGGGATTGTATGCTTCCCTTCTAAACAGTGTCCAGTGCTGGCTTAGAAAGCAGCATCAGAAAACCTGAGTTGAATAATCCTGTAAACTAAATGAGATCTTTTGAGTAAAAAAATATTAGAGTAACTAGTTCTCTTAGCATGTGCAGGTTGTGTACCTGAATTTGTAAAATCTTGTTTCTGTAGTCTGAGTCTTAATTGGAGGGTCTTTCTCTCTTGAAAGCTCATAAAGGCAGTAAGTTTTAGTTAACAAAATGCAGAATAAATGTGGTCTCATCTTCTCATGTTGTCTTCTGTTTTCCGGTATTGCCATCTCCTGGTGGAACTGATATGTGCAAGAAATAGGGAATGTACGATGCTCAAGTTTAGGAGCTATAGGAAAGTGTGGGGATAAAGCTCCATTTATGTACAAGGTCACAAATCTGTTGCTTTCTTCAAGAGCTAATGATAAGCTGTGACACTTCTTTAATGGCGTTTGAGTCGAGTGTTCAGAGAAAAGGAGATGTGTTGCCTTGAGAGGGCAAGCTCTGAGGAATTTGATGAGATGGGTGACAAGACTTGCAGGACCCTTGGTAAAATGGAGGAGGATAAGCTGGTATGTTATGTTTGCCTTAGGAGACAAAACGAGCAATTCCTTCAGCCAGTTAATGCAGTTTGAATGATGTAGTGCTTTTGGTCAAGGTCACCTTGGAGTGATACTGTTCTTACAATGAAAAGGAAGCAAATCTTTTTTGCAGGGCTCATTCTGCTTAAATATGAGGCAGAACAGCAAGCAAGGGAAGCTTAGGCATCAAACAGTGTACAAGGCATCTGTTCGCCTCCTGAGTATAGCGATTAAAAGGACTCCAGTTTTGGTTTGTAGTTTTTCTGTTTTTTCTCACCATCGCAACTCCATTGCTGTCTATTTAGTATAAACGAGCTGTCACAGTTTTTTATCATGTTTCCAGCAAATGGCTCCGAGCAAATTGAGACAAATGTGATAACAGCACCATTGTTCAGCAGTAGCTGTACTACAGCTCTTCATAATGCTGCAGTCTGAAAGCTTTTCCACTGCTGCCGTGGTGAGGGAAGTTGGACCAGAGAGAACAAGCTCCAGAGCAGTTGATCCCTTTACCTCTTAGTATCTAGAAACAAATGGAAGTCCAGTTTGAATTTAAATAGCAAATACACAGGAGAAGCAGCAATCGTGGCTGTGTGTTTTTCCTGCACTAATGGCTGCCTTTCCTGCAAAACTTCTGCTGATTGAGTCAGTTTGCTGTTTTAGTAAGTTTTCCTAAAATACAAACTGTCTTCATTATGCTCAGTTCTTTCATTCCAGCATTTCTGTTGGTTCATTAGCAAATCATCAGGAATGTAAAGATTTGTTCAAGAGGGAAAAAATAAAATTAAAAGTCTGCTTTTCATAGAATTCACATCAGTAGTTTGTTGAAGGGCGGGGGGGGGATGTTATCAGGCACTGGGTAGCATTTCTTAGTATTGCATAGAGATGCAAGGAATCTTGATGTTCATAACTAAGTAAGAATGAGCGGTGTCTTTTTTTGGTTGGTTGTTTTTGAGTTTTGGAGGTTGGCTTGTTTTTAAATCAAACCCCAAAACTTGTAGTTAATAACTCTTAACAAAAATGCCTTTAGGGGTTTTCCCTTAAGAGCTGGTGGTCAAGAAAATATATAAATTTATTTAAGGTGGTATTTTCTTATTGAATGTTTTGCTGTGCCTAAGTGATGTATGTTGTAAAAAAGCCTCAGTGTAATATTTACTTTGCATTTTTCATTCAGGTGGGTCTGCCTAGTATTTTAGGGTGACAGTTTTTTTATGGTCAGACTGTTGTAAGTTTTTTCCACTCATATTGAAGCAGGTCGTTTTACTGAATATGTTTTCATTCTTACCATATCTGCAGTCAAAAATTACTGTAATCATTGTTTGGAAGGAGGTTTTCTACTGTGACCAAGAGTAGCTACTCATGCAGTCTCTTGAAAGACAAATGCAAGTGTACCTTAAGATTCCATTTTAAAGTTTGGGAAAACTGTAAGTATTTGCATTCAAAAATGAAGAAAGTTTGGCACTTGTGGTCAGGAACCACCAGTAGTTAGTTGATTTGTTGCAACTATACTCTTTTACTGCTCATTGCCGGCTTGCAAAAACTCTGATACAGTATTCCTTCAGAGTTCAGATAGTGATACCAGCCAAATTCTAGGTTGGTGTTAAGCCTTAATAAAAATGAATTTGAGGGTTCATAAATCTGATACGTATTCAAAATATTTTTATCAAATAACAGTGAAACATGCTTCTTTTCTAACCAGCATATTTTTAATGTAAAATGGATTTCAAGATTTTTCTGCAAGATTAAGATACTTTGTAATTATTCAATCTTGTCAAACTTAGACAGAAACACCCTGCAGTATTATTTTGGAAGGTTTTCAGACTCTTGATGAATTTGTCTTTGTGAAAACTTTGCATTTATATCTGTCTTTTTAACAGCTGTCATGGAGGAGTTGGTAGAGGATGACATCTGTATTTTGAACCATGAAAAAGCAGACAACTCTCACAAGAGAGACAGTGATATTCCTGTTTCATCCTATAGTGGAGATGAGTCTGTTGCCTCACACTTTGCACTTGTCACTGCATATGAAGATATCAAGAAACGACTAAAGGAGACAGAGAGGGAGAACTCCCTCTTAAAAAAAAGAGTGAGAATTCTAGAAGAGAAGGTAAGAAAAAAAGTTGATTTACCAGTTTCTGGTAGCAGCTTCTTTTTTGCTCCTTGCTGCATGGCAGAGCAGATGGTTAAGGATTTAAAATATATACTTAAAATAGTTTCCATGTTAAAAAATCTTGGTCAATTGTTTTATTTGCTGAAGTGAAATGCAGTTGCTTCCTCTGGTAGTCTAGTTGCATCATACTGGGATTTTTGATTCTTACTGGGCATATATATGATGCAATGCAAAAACAGTAGTTTTGATTCAGAAAGATGTGTAGTTGCACTGGATTGTTGCTGTAGTTTACCTACCTCTTTATGGTGTTTATTAACTTGAGCACATGTGACAGTATTGTTGAATAGTGAGGTGCAAAGCCTGTAAGTTGTCAGAATCCAGGAATTGTCTATCAAAAGACTCTTGGGCTCAGCATACCTAAATATTAAGGAAAAATTGGTTGCTAAGACTATCTAGCTAGGTCTAACTAATTGCAGTCTCAAATCTGAAATGTCATGCTTAACACAGATGTTGGCTGTCTATTCTTTGATGCAGTAATTCTAAAACATAAAGGAATCTTGTCATTTGTTTTATATGCAGTTTCTCATGCCCGTAATCTAGTGAAGTTCATAAAAGCTAAAAATTGACCAGGACACAGGTTTTTCCTCTCCAAGTAATGAATGCTGTCATTAAACATATATCCATCATTCAGTACTGAATGTCTTTGTACTGCAGAAGTTCTTGACTTTGATAGATTGCTTTCTTATATGAGATGGGAAGATACATCCTAGTGTTAGAGCTAAGACATTTTCTAGGAATTAGTCCTAAGTGTGTGCTACTGATTCTTGAAAGCTTTCTAAGTATGTGTTTTGTGGCATTAGAATACAGAGTCTGAGTCACACTCAGCACAACTTTGAAACACTTATTCAGGAATTCTTGGTGACTAGTTTGACAAGATTGACTTTCTGTCAAAAGGCAAAACTGTCTCAGCATTTTCTTTATGTAAGGTCTGGGGGGTGATGGGAATAGGAATAGAGCTCTAGACTGAATATTCTCTCAACCATGCTGAGTGTAACATCTTTTATGTAGTTACTTAAAATCAAGATAAGCAAGACTTGACCTTGACAGTTCCTTTTGTCTTGCATCTTTTGGTTTGGCCTGGTTCAGCTTAATTCTCTTGAAAATGATACTTTGTTTTCCATGTGAATACTGTAAAAATGTTTCTGAGAGAGGAATATTGAAAAGGCCAAGGCTGTTTAAGTAACAGAACTGACTTTCAGTCTTTGTCAATAGCTAATATATCTGTATGTTTAAAAAATATATGGGGAGTTACCCCTTTTGAGTTTTCAATTTCAGAGTGTAACTTCCAGAAAGCTTATTAAGCCTTTGTGTTCTATTTCAATGGCTTTATTAGGGGTAGGAAAATGTAAAGGACTAAATTTAAAAGGAGTAGAACATATACTTTGAGAGTTAATACAAAAGCAAAGGGCAAAAGTTTCTTATCTTTATGGCTTGCTTTCCCATACTTTTTTTTGAGCAAGCACCTAAAAGAGGAGATATTTAAGGCAGGTACATATGTGTCAACACTTTGGTTTTGTAGGTTTTTTTGTGTAGCTCTTTGATTTTTAAGAAAATACGAACAAATCTGTTGCAAATATCTACAAGAGGAACACTAAACATGTTTAAAGGAAGTGTGCAGGATAAACAGGATGAAAAAGAAAATGCAATACTCAGTCAAACCAAGAATTTTGTATGTGAACAGATGTAATATGATGTAAGACTTTGCTTCTTTCTGTCTTATTAAAAATGCTAAATATATTTTAACTCTGCTCCCCATTTTCTGGCAATCTAGTTGGTAGTGCTTATTCTGCTTTGCTTGTCTCTTGCCAGAGCAGGCAATGAGGGAGTGGTGACCTGAAAGTTAATAGTTGTTTGTAAAATAATTCTGCTTTGGCTTTTCTTACATAACTACGCTGAAAAAAATCTTTGTTTACATTATGAGTCATTAAAAAAATATGTTTGGTTTCCTCTGAACTTTCTATATGTTGTGTCTCTATGTGCTTAAAACTCCTTTTTCAAAAAGCAGTTTGTACATTTTCAGAGTCTGGAAAAAGTATGATTAAGGGATTATCAGTGTGAGAGTAATCATGATTTGTGAATGGTTTTTAAATACTCATAGCAGTCTAATGAAAAGTATCCCTGCCCATGGCAGAGGGGTTGAACTAGATGAGCTTTTAAATGCCCCTTCCAACTGAAACTATTCTGTCATTCTATAAACTAGCGAGCATTAAGTATGGTTAGAAATTGCAGAATTTGTAGACAGCCTTTGTTACACTTCTGTAAAAAACTTTGTCCTGTAACTTTGGTCCATATCAATGTATTTGATTAATTTATTATCTAAACTAAAAAAAAAAAAAAAAAAAAGGCTGTTAGATTAGTATTGGCTGCTGTACTATTGCCTTTTTTAGATTGTGCAGTTCTCAACAAAACATACAAAACTTATTTCTCTTGTCTGTTAAACTTTTAGCTGCTTGGCTCCCGGCGGGAAGAGGAATGCAGCTCAGTTGGGCGTGAACAAGTGAATAAGGCATACCAAGCCTATCGAGAGGCCTGCATCGACAGAGATAACTTGAAAAGCAAGCTGGAAAAAATGGTGTGCCTTTTTAAGTAATGACTTAAATGCATGGTTTAATAAGTACTTGCATAGCTAGTAAATTTTTACTGTAGAATGAATTTTACTTACTAAAGGTCTGTGGTTAGTTATATCACTCCTTTAGGGTTTTTAAGTACATTACAATACCTTATGTAGGAATAACAATTTCAAGTATCTCAATTTTATTACTGGGCTAGAACAGTGCTAAAAAAAGACCAATATTTTTTTTGTTTTGTCTCTGTTTAAAAAAAATTGAATTGTCAGACATGATAGAAAAAAGCTTCACAAATGGTTTTCTGCTGTGTTTCCCCACCCCCCTCCCCCCAAAAATAGGTGAAAGAAAGTGAGGAATCCTTGAAAACCTTGAACGAACAGTTGCAGTCTAAAGAAGTAGAGCTGTTACAACTGAAAACTGAAGTGGAAACGCAACAAGGTGTGTATCTGGTTACTTCATCTTAGTGCATGCTGATGAGCCCTCATGGTTATATCATGATCTTGGGGCATGAAGAGGTTTAACCCTATGTAGTGGCTGGGTAAGAGAGGCGTGTCTGGCAGTGAGGCACTTTGAGTTGGGGTTCATTTTTGTGAATGGTGACATGCATGTTAGATGATCGTAGGTGAGGAGCTCCATGGTAAAGATCTGAGGCTGTTGTGTTCTACCATAGATGATTTCATAATTTGAGAAATGGGCACAACCTGACAGTGTATAGGCTGTGTCATGTACATCTCTGGACCCCACCACCTTTTCATCAGAGCAGGGTGGGAGCATACTTGTACAAGTACAAAGATTATTCAGTCAATACCACTTCCTCTGGTACCTGCAGAGGATCCAGTATATTCCTTTTTCTCGCTGTTGGGATATATGACAGGTGCAAGAGGATGTTGTATAGCAATATAGCTACAGTCGACAACAGTCACTTAAAGGGCTGGGAGATGAGAAAAGATAGAAAGATGTTGGTTGTAGAGAGCCTGGTGAAAAGAGGAAGGAGAAACAAACAGTGTATCCTGGCAATTCCAAAAGCCCAAATCCAGCTTCTGTTACTGCAGTTGTAAAGAGGACTGGGCTCACGATAGGTACGTAAAACACTATGGAAGAAAAGAAAATCTGTATTAATTTAGTTACAAGAAAAGAGAACAAGAAAATGCCATCTGTGTAGGGATATGGACTGACTTCAGGGGCTGTACAAATTCAGTCATTTGAAAGGTGCTTGAGTTGGATTACTCTCCAAGAGGACCTCAAGCACTGCTTCAGTTGCACAAATTTTTAAACCTATAAGAACAAACTGCATGTAGTGCTAGTATGACTCTTGAGGACCTCATGGTTTAAGGAGATAAGAAGTGCAGAGTTTATAAGGAGAGCTCTGAAAATGTGGTGATTTCAAGCCTTATTTCGAAATCAGTTTTACTAATAACTGGACTCTGAGTATCTTGTTTGAGCAAAAAATCAGTGTGTTTAAGCTTGTTTAAACTGTTAAATCTGGAAATAAGTGTACCATGTGGTTGAAGATTTGAGGGTTTCTTCCTGTCATGTTCTTTTTTTTTTTTTTCTTGCTCTCCAACTCGTGTTCTGCCACTGATTTGATACTAGGATCATCTTAGGTGGCTTCTTACTGTGTAAATTGCTTTGGTCTAATAAGATTTATGTAACTTCTACGCTCTCCCCTTTTGTTTTGATAGTATCTTTTGTTGTTCTGTTTGGAACTTCCTGATTAATCCTGGGGGAAACAGTGGTAAATTATGTAATGATATAAATCTGAGGGGGAAAATACTTGTGTTTTTAAAACATGTAAGAAGTATGCAGATTGGTCTATATATTATGTGTCTTTGCCATAAACTGATTTTTCTATTATCAGTGCCATTTATGCTGGTACTTCCTTTGTATGTAAAATCTCCAGTCTGTTCCTAGAAAGTAGGGCTTCATGCTTTAAACTCAGAAAATAGACCACTTCTCTGCCAACAGCTTTACTAGTGTTACTGTTTCCTTGCTGTCATAAACTGCAATTTCTTCAGAATATAATGTTTTTGTAGGACATGGTCTAGTTGAGCAGAGCCTTACATACTGATTTACATTCCTTGAACTGAGACTGGAATCTGATTTTTTTTTTTGCTTGTCTTCTTTACAGTGATGAAAAGTTTGAATTGTACTCAGGCCAACTGGGAATTAGAGAAGCTGAACTGTGACCTTAAAGTTCATAGTTTGGAACAGGATCTAGAAAAACTCAAGGAAGAGTGCAACAGTCTCAGGAAGGAGTTGCAAAAATCCAAGCAGAAGGTACCTTAATTTTTAAGGAATTTTTGTAGTAATAGTTTATTTTAAATCCCGGGTTCAATCAAAATAAAGGGTTAACAAAGATATAAAGTATATAATTGAGTGAAAGATGAACATCTTGGTAAAATTTACCATCAATATTTTCTTAGACTGTCATGTTTCTTGGAAATAGGCTTCCCAGTGAAATGGTCGTGGCACCAAGCCTGTCCAAATTTAAGAAATCTCTGGGTAACACCCTTAATCATAAGGTTTAGTTTTAGGTAGTCCTGCAATGAGCACAGAGTTGAACTGAATGATCCTTAGGGGTCCCTTCCAAATTGAGATATTCTATGATTTTACATAGGTGACATTTCCTAGCCATTGCCCATATTAAAACAGAAAATAAAGCTTTATGATTTTTATAAGTAGTCATTGTAGTGTTCTGTGTAAGCTGGGCTACTTAAAATGTTTGGGGAAAAAAAACTTTTCTTTCTCTCTTTTTTTTTTTTTTTTTTTAAATTGAATGCTTATGTTAAAGATGCCCTGAACTTTATTAAAGGAGGCCTAGCATTTTTCTTTAGGGTAGCTGCATGAAGCTTGTCAAGAAAGTACCTCTTTGGCTGCCCTTCCCTGTCATTTCTGGGGCATATGTCTGTTTTGAGGGATTAATTTTGTAACCTGGCTGTTGTTAGGATCTCCAAAAGAAAATTAAGATAACGTAATGTTTTTTGTTACTGTTAAGTTATATGTCTAGCGCATTCTTAATACTTTCCATCTTACCCTTGATGAAAGGTGCAGTGGCAGTTTCTAGGACTCTGTGGTCACACTGAAGGTACACAGGGAATGGAAAAGATTTAAATGTGATTGTTTGAAGAGGCAGATTATTTTACATTCCGTATGGCCATTAATAATAATAATAATAATTATGTAATCTTGATTCACACAGTATTTGAGAGAGTCTGCATTTTTTCCACTAGGTGGGGATAAAGCATGTGAGGTGTTTTGTTAACTTCCCTTGTTTTCACTTTTGTCTGGAATTCTTTCAAGTGCTTTCAATAACTTGTAAGATCTGAAGGCATACTGTAACTTGTAATTGAAGATTGCAGATTGTATTGTGAGGGTGAATGTGTTAGATGGAACAGACTAAGGTAGCAGTTGTAAGGGATACCACATGTGACACTTTAAATAACGCTTATATCTGTGGCTTTTGTTGCAAAGAACAAATACAAGGAACAGCTTTTTTGTTTGTTTCTTTTTTATTTATTTTTTTTTTTAAATATGATTTCTTCTTGATCCTGGTAACTACTTAATATAGGAAACATAAAGGTACAAGTTTTCAAATGTGGGGTAATAAAGCACAACTGGTTTTTTTAACTGTGAAATTGAATCTTTGATGGGCAGTGGTGGGAAAGTCGTCATGAGGGGAAAAATCTGTCAGGCCAAATACAGGCAAATCTGATCAATGGGCAATGACAAGTCAGCATTGTTTCAAACCCAACTGGTATTTTTGTTATTACTTGATTTAATTATATTAGTTAGCTTTTTCAAATGTTTTCTACTGTGTAGAAATAGTTTACTTTCTATTTTTTTGTACTTTTAGATATTCTTACTTAGGTTTTGCATTGTAGTTGATGCAGTGTGTACATTATATTGACAAGTTGCTTGAAATGTGCACAGGCTGTCATGAAGCCACAGTAACAGGTATCAAATTCAAAACAGCTTTGGCTAGGGGAAATAGTAGTTGGAAGGTAACAGGAAAAGAAGGGATATGAATGGGAGTTCATCACAGGCGTGGGTCTAGTAGAAACACAGCTAATGAAGTGAGCCCAATGTTTGATTTGTTAAACAGTTCTGTTAAATTCTCTGAGGCTGCCTGTACATGCAATTTTAAAGTAAGGATAAATTATATCCTGTTATAAAAGTAACTTGTGGAAGTAAATCTGAACTTGAAACAGTTTGCTTTAATGTAAAGGTCTTTATATACTGTGATAGGGAAAGAACAAGAAAAAGACTGATTCTTTTTTTTTTATGGACATCAAAAGTCTTTCTCAATTTTTGCTTTCTAAATCAATCATGAAGTCTGACAGCTCAGCTGTTTAAAAGAATACATAGTACAGAGGTGGCTGAGCAATGCCTTCATATGAGTAAGTAGTTTAAGCATTTTTAAGTGGAAATTCTTAGTAGAATTTTGATTTCATTTTGAAACCCTCTGCAGCTAACACAAATGAAGACTACTTGTGAATTTCAGTATTACTGAATATTGTAGTTTCAGTGCCATTTTTTCAGATAGAAGATCTGAAATCATGTTCATTCAGTCTCTGCCTTCCCTTCACTCTGTTACACAGGACCAGGCTCAAGATGAAAATCCATTGAGTGGAGACCACCTTCAAAGGCAAGGTATCCAGAGGTATGAAAAATCAAGTGATGTTCATGTTTTATTTTCAGTTTACTGAGGGACAAGTAAATATTTGAACAAGTAAATATTTTAGCAGCCTATCTTTAAACATGTTATTTCAAATACATTATTTCAAGTCTAGGTATACTCATTTAGCAAGATCATTGTAAATTTTTTTTCTTTGTTATGTTTGTAGTTCAGGATGATGATGACCATTTACATCTTCAGATTGTTGTACAGAAAAAGCAAATTTAATTATCTTGGATTTAAAAATCAGCTTTTTTTAATAATTAGTCGACTTGAGGAGGTGGTAGATAAATTTCCAAGCGTCATCCCAGCTATGGAATATCTTTATTCTGTGCATGGGGAGGTTTCTGTGTTTGCATAGTTGCAGGCTTCAAATCCCTTGCACACTGCTGGAACATACATTCTCGCTTAGTGCAGTGCAATAATATTTCTACTAGAAGACGTTTTAAAGGATTTTTTTTTTAACACTGAGGAGCCATTGTGTGACTTATTCAAAAAGAAATAGCAATTGTCCAGAGAAATGCTAAAATATCAGAAAGCATTTGTTCTCGTTTTGTACCCATTCAAATAATAATTGTAGTTGTGATATGAACTCCTTTGTTATCGTACCTTAAGTATATGTGCTATATTAGGAAGTATATATATCTTTTAATTCTTTATGCGAAAGAACTATACAGGAATGCATGAAAATTCCCAAATGTTCTGTCTTGGGGAAATGAAATTCTGTCTTTCTACCCAGTTATGCCTGTTCATGCACTTACAGGATTTTCCACCAGAGGGAAGAGTGGTCCTTCATAATGACAGATTGTTTAGCATGATGCCTTTTTGCTTCTTTGGGCATTGAAGAGATGGGAAGGGAGATCAGTCACTGAAAGAGAACTGTACAGATATTTCTCATCTTATGTTCTCTGGTATAATGACGATAACGTACGCACTATACACAAATCACACTTTGTCCTTTCACCTTGACTGGATACTTATTCCTGTGGTTTCTGATGGAGCTTCACAGTCATTCTTGCACGCTGATGAATGGTATTCTCTCAAGATACAGCAGTTATCTTTTGATCATTGCTCTGATCAAACTGATAATTTGATCGAATGATCATTAATCAGAGCAGATTTATTCCACAAAGTGGGGTTCAGGTGGCAGCCATCAGAATTAGCATATGTACAGCACAGGGTTTCTTGTAATACTATGTAAATAATGAATGTGTAGTGAATACGTAAGCCCATCCAAAAACCTGTAGAAAACACACATGAAAAACCTCCTGTGAGAAACATTTGTTGTAGCTAGCAGTCTTGCTTTTTATGGGAGATGGAGGCATTTGCAGTTAGTTAACTTCTTGGAGAATAGTTATTTCACATTTGTGAGGAGTCTGCAAATCTGACTTTAAAGTCTCAGTTTGCAAATCTACTTTCCTGTAGATTTAGACAGGCGGTCATATTGAAGGTTCATATTACATGTAGAAGGCAGTATAGGATAAACCCTGAAGCACAGGGTATCCTTGGTTTTCAATTGCAAATTCGTTAAAAGTTAGGCTTTGCAATGGGATTCTAGGTCAGCATCCACAAAAACAATTAAGATGTGTCATGTGTGATTTAATTCTGGTACCTGTAGTCATTTGCAAGATGCTTGTAAAAGTGCTAAATGCACTTTACAAATTCATCCAAACACGTTTCTTCTAGTTAGTGGCAGACACAGCCATTCTTGTATTTACCACTTCTGTGTTAAATATTGGACAGTACTGTCTTGATACAACTTAAGTTTGTTTGGTCTTATTTTTGAGACCAAAACACGTGAATTAATGAAGAGTGGTTGCCACATCAACTTAATTTTACAGTTGTCATCTTTAATGAACTCTCATCAACAGTTCAAAGAGCCAAAAGGATTCTGCAGTAGAAAGGCTCCAGGTTTATCTGAACTTCTTGAAATATCAGTTTTGAAAATTTTAATTTTGTATCAGAATTGCTGACACCTAATACATTACCTATTAAACTATCAGCTTTCTGTGTTCTTTAATGGTGCTTTTTCATTCTGACTGTTTATATTCTGGTGAGATATTTCTGAGCATAGCAGAAAGTTCAATTTCTTTGTTTTAACCCTGTTAGTGTTAACTTGTAGGACAGCCTAGTACCTGCTTCTCAGAGTGATTTTGAGCACATTTGTGCCTGATATATTTCATGCAGGAGTGATCCTATATTGCTATTTTAGAGGGATAGAACTCTCTACATATGCATGATAATACAGTTATAAAGCTTATTAGTTCTTAGTCATCTCGATAGTTTGGGACATTGAGCTGTTTTCAAATAAATGTCTTCGGTGAATGTAGTGAGGAAGAAAGAAATTTTCTGGAAACTCTCACCCATGATACTTCTCTTCAATAAATGTGTTTTGGTGGAATGTTAAGCATTAAAAAAGCATTACTGATTTCATGTTTAAGTTTGAAGTAACTACATACTTATGTCTTTGAACACTAAGTTAATTATTAATCAACGTAAGACTGGTATTCAGTGAGCCTTTGCTTGAAATTTTACCAAGAAACATATGGTAATGCTGACTTCTAATTTTTTTGTTCTTGATTTTCTTACCAACTATTGACCTGTAATGCCAATGTTGGAACGGTGCTGCTGTTGCTAAATAAGTTTCTCGTATTACGCTGTCTTAGAGAATGAATTGGGTGACTATGTTTTACGCTGTCTGATAAGGCAGTGTATTAACATAATAATAATACATCATGCATAGATGACTTGAATATGAAACAGTATGTTTTATGTTTTAGTTTGGTCTGTGTGGGAATGCTCAGTTGGGATCTCAGGTATTCAGTCTGAATTCAGCGTAGCAACGTAGACAGTGTAAGACCCAAATATATATGGAATATTTAAAATTCTGATCAATTAATATTACTAGGATCATAATATGCAATGGGGTGTGTGGTCATTTATTGAAAGGTATTCAAATTAAAACTACCTTCTTTGCAACTTAGTGTCACTTTACTTACATATTTTAACTATTCCTTTGAGATTTCTTATTTTATGGGAAGGTGGTTAGTTTCAAATAATGAAAGGAAAAGTGTGCTTCATATTTCTCTCCATTTGGGGAATTAAAATTATTATTATTATTACCTAGTATGTTAATATATAGTGCATTATATATTGTAATATGCACAAATCAAATAAAATATACAAATGTCCATCAATTTAAGGTCATTATCAGTATCATTCAATGCATTTTGAATTATGGTACTCTAGCAAAATTTGCAGTGTATGTCAGGCAAAACCAATTTATTAACAGATAATGCTTGATAAGCATGTAATAGGCTGCTTTAGAGGTGGCAGTATTTAACTGGTAATAAATTTCTGTTTTGAAAGTGTGCAACAAGCATATTGGGAACTGAAGAGAGAAATGTCTAATTTGCGCCGAGTGACTGATGTGCAAGCTGAGGTTCTACGAAAACTGAAAAGGAATCCAACAGCAACCAATAAAGGCAAGTCAGTGTTTGCAGTAATAGACCTTACAAACACAAGCTGTTAATTCAAGATGTCCTATTTTAAAAATGAACTAGCTATCATATCTTATCAGAATCTCATCAATTGAAGTTGATAAGCTAGACTATATTATGGTTCCAGCTTACCCATTTTCTGCTTTTGCTTCTGTCTCATACTGGTCAACTTCACACATAAAGGTGTTGCTGATGTGTTTTTTCTTCAGTACTGTATTCTGTTCCCCTTGTGGCTTTTTTCTCAGTCAAGTGTTGCTTATGTGCACAAGGCTGAGGTGTTAAGTTTACTTGTATTTGACCTTTTACCACAACTACTTCATATTAGGGGGGAAAAAAATCTTTTTGCAAATGCAGTCTTATTTTCCCAGTACAGAATATATGAAATTGGAAATATTTTAAAAATCAGACTTTAACAGACAGAAGTTTCCTTATGGTTCCATGTTTCCTTATGTCAGTGTTCAGAAAGGTTGTCTTTTTTAGCAAAATGCTGCACAATATGACATTTTTTTGAATGTCAAAATACTGGGGAAGCAAAACTGCCTTATATAAGGGTTAAATAATTTCTGTATAGAGTATTTATAATTTCTGTGAGCAGTTCATCAGACAGTTCTTCTATTTCATACATATGTTTCTCTCAAGCCAAATGCTAGACTGTCAGTCAAACACTGTGGTAAACAATCTATTTCCTTTGTTTTCTGCTTACTTCAATTGTGGTATTTACTGTGCTCAGAATACAGGTGAAAAACAGTGAACTTGGTTACAGTGTATTGGTGACAATCTCTGATGGCCCTGTCCATTACCGGATCAAGACATTTTGTTTCTAAACAGCTCAGTGAGGTAATGACAGGATTCACCTCCCGGTCAGTCCCTGCCTTTGTGGTCAGCAGTGACTAATGATCACTCTCTCTCTGGTACTTGGCTGATACAAACTATCAACACATTTTGTAGAGTTGGCCATATGTTACCAGGTGAGTTTGTGTTCCTACAATTCTAAACCACATTTGTCAAATAAATTCAGCAGAGAAACTGAGAACTGAATGGGTCTTTAATCTGAAATCTGTCAAGGTTTGACGTGATCATATCGTGTCTTTCTGTCCTTATTTTAATTTGGAGTTACCTGTCTTGCCACTACACAAGTACTGATTTTTGTTTTCTCCTTGGTAAACAGTCTCATTTTCTGGAGTTGTTCATCCACAGTCATAAAAGGTGTTATTGATGGATCAGGAAATAGTGGACTTCTGCCTTTTTCTCTGTAGGCTTTTTTCACTAATTTTTCAGAACTATGTAAGAGTGGACAGGTCTGTTGACCCTGCTCGTCAGCCACCCTTAGGAACATGATGTGGATATTTTATAAATATATGCTTATATTTTTAGAAAAATCTGGGCTTATGAAAAATATGGGTAGAACTGACTTAAACCTTCCACTTCCTATACATCTAGTACTGGCTGTTTTAGCATCTACAAACTAGCTGCCACTTCAGAGGTGCATTAAGTCTGCAGAACATGTGTTTGTTACTCTGTGTGGGACATGAACAATATCAGTTAATGTGCAGATTCTACTTATCTGTCATTTGCATATGGAGGCATTTTCAACAAATGTGTGTCTGTGGGAGTTTTTTATTGTTGATTGTTTGTGTTTTGTTTGGGGATTTTTTTTTTTTTTTTTTGCATCTTCAGTCTATTTTCAGTGGATTCCATTTTTCTTGAACTTCTAAAGGTCTGTAGGCCTCAAATTGCTTTTTACAGCTCTCAGCACAAAGAGGCCAAATCCAGTGCCTTATAATGTCTCTCAGACATGATGCCTGTGCTATTGGAAGGTGGTTTTGGTTGACATTTGTGAATTGGGTACTGCTTTTTAATTCACAGTGACAAACAGAAGTTGTATTCTTTGACCAAGATGGTTCCTCTTTCTGTCCCTTAGGAATTAAAGTTAAAATTTGCAGTTTATACTCAAGATTCACATCTGTTCTAGAAAACAGTGTGTAAGATGTGAGTTTCTTTAACTGCAGAAAGCATTAATCTACTCCCATTACATGTTTATGTACATGATCACTATAAAAAAAAAAGATTGGTTTTATTTGGCCATCTGTTCAGATGTGCATTGAAGATGCACTTCTTCCATTTCAGGTAGATGCTGTTCTGTTTCAAAATCCTCCCTTTCCTAGCACAGTTTAAAACTTCCTTGGAATTTCAGATGGCTGAATATTTCAGTCTGTCACTTCACTTTTGGAAGTCAGACAACAGTGGCACACAGAGAACCTGGGAACACCACGTGTTTCCCTCTTACTGCTTCATGGACAGTGAGAATTCGCTTTCTGGACAGCCAGAGAACACAACTTGTTAAAAGAATCAGTAGAGGAGGAGGCAGCACTCAGTGTTCTGCATCTGGTTGATTTCTCCAAGCGCATGAAAATCCTGTTTCAGCATTCATTCCAGTCCGGTCAGAAAGATCCACCAGTTTACCTGTGTTCAAGTGGGAGTCAGGAGGTTTCCTTGGAGTTAGGTGTGTTTTAGACATTGTGATTTCAGGTTCTTGGGTTCATCTTGTAAAGTTAGACTGGTGAGGTTAGTATGGTGTTTGTAACTTTTAAGTAGTTACTGAATATGGTCTGAAAACTTGTGGCTTGAAAACACTGTGTTTAACATCCCTGCTAGACTGTAGTACATTTGGAGTACATGAAAAATGCATTACATAATGTAATTTTTAAATCTTTTTTTATCTCCTCCCTTCAGCTGCCCCTACTGTACCGGTACAATGTGTAGAATCGAACATTTCAAAGCTGAATTTGACATCTGGGGTAGTCTATAAAAACCTCTCACAGAACAATAAAGACTTCTGCAACGCTGTGTCTACCCCTCTGCTGAGAGATGTCCACATCCCATCGGAAAGGGTGACTCTACAAGCATGGGCAGATGAGAGACCCATTCCAGTTGATGGCAAAACGTTTCAGGAACACCATTCTTACGGAAAGAGCTCTCTGGAAGATAATTCCTGGGTATTCCCAAGTCCTCCAAAGCCTAATGAGAATACGTTTTGGGAAATTAAAAATAACCCAACTTTGTTAAACTGCCCAGCAGATTACCTGGATCAGTGTAATCAAAACTGTCTGCACAAGAGTTAAACAATTTTTTGAATGATTCTGAATAGGCACCTTAACGCTTGAACTTTTTAAGACAGAAAAGAAATTGCTTGAAATGTTCTTTCTTTATTTTTAATTCTAGTTCTGAAACAGAAGCCTAGTCTTCCTCTGCTGTTAATCAGGAGTAAGTTCCTTGATGTTAAAGCTGTGCTGGTATAATGCAAAAATAAAGAAATCTAGCATGGGGCCTAGATAGTCTTGTACTGCAGATGACATACATTTGCAAAAGGTTACACTGAAAAGTGAGTTGATGGAATAAAACAAAATAATTCAGTTCTGTATTTGTTTGCTATTTGTATCTTATCAAGAAAATATTTGGTATCTGATGTTAAAACTTGTACCAGCTCTAAGGTGACTTTTTGATGGTGTCCTTTTTCAGAAGAAGACATAAAATGAAGAACTAGATTATCTTTCCCTTCCTCCTTTCAACTAACTTTCTGATTCCTCTGTTTTTAGAAATGCATTTTTATGTAATCTTTAGCCAAGAAAGGTGAGATTCATTTTTTTTTTCCAAATCCTTGATTTATATTAGATAGTGGCAAGAGAAAAATCTTGGCTATCTTGTTTAGATTGCACCATTTGATTGTGAATTCTAGAGGACCATAAGTAATGCTGCTGAACACTGTGAATCCTGGAGGTTCAGCTTGTTCCTGCTGAAGGGAACTGACTTAACTCTGTGCACAGCGGTGCTGCCACAGAACTCTCCTGCTCACAGGGCAGTTACCCATATCGTGCCTCCTTTGCACAGCACCAGAACCTTGACTCTTTATTTGTATGGTGGTGATGGATACTAACTTTTCTTTTGTGAAAGAAACAAAGCCTTAATTTAATCAGACTTGGTGTTGTCACACTGTTGATATACATAAGAAGTATTTTTGTGGTATCTTTAGTAAGCCACCGAGAACTAGAGTTATTAGAATCTGCCTGCTTTATAGATTATGGGTGTCTAAGTACTATTTTTTTTAACTCTTAAGGCCATGAACTGTTTTTAGGCAAATACAATTTATGCCTTTTTTTTTTAATTATCTGCTTCATATCTGGCTTGATACAACAGGGTTAAGTGAAATGTCTTGACTGCTCCGAAGGTTGAAGAAAAATGCTTTGTAATTTAGATCCATGATGCCTAACTTGTAATGGGCAGGAAGATATTTAATACTGAATGGGCTATTTACACTTGTGGGGGTGGGTGAAGTATTTGACTTCACAGGTCTAGCTTCAGATCAAAGTAATAAAAATTAATTTCACAGCTGTTTAGTAGCAAATTATCTTAAAACTTCTTGCAAATACATGAGGAAGCTATGACTGTAGCATAGCTGTAGTAATGATGGGCTGTAAAAGTGTTACTGGGGCGCTACATGACCTGTGTGGTTCCAGACACTCTTCCCTTCACAGTAAGTATGAAGCCCATCTCCTTCTCTCTCATTTTATCTATCAAAGTCGAAAGAATGCCTTCCAGATACTTTCTACTATAGTAGCAAACAGCATACATAAATAATGTTTCCCATTCACCAGATACAGTTTTTCTTTCTATTATCTTGCTCACATATACTGGGTTGTCTGTGATTAATGGAAATGGTGTCAGATGCTGGAATTTATTCTGACCAATGAACACAGCTGACTCAGGGGAGTACAGTCTCTTGGAAAGTAATAGAACAAAACCCAATATGCATAAAACAAATCCAAGTCACTAGGCTTTAGCTGATAAAAGCAACTACCTGTGTAATAACAAAGAAAACACTTCTCATGTGGCTGCATAAGCTATATATGGCTTACTTTTGGGGTTCCCCACCTCAATATTACAAAGGCGTTTTTTATTAAGTAATGTATTATCCAACAGACATCAATATGATTTGTGCATCGAGGGAATTCTATTGTGTAAGATTTCAAATAAATCTATTTTTGTTTGAAATTGGTTTCACTTACAAATCTTCTTTCCGTATTTGGCACAAAATTTTTTACTTAAGTTTTAATTCCTTGATTGTGTATAAATATTTCTCCAAATACAAACAATTAAATTTGAGGTTCATCCTTTTTCATTCAGAGGAAAAAAAACAGCCATCTTCTGTAGCCTGCTTCAGCATATTCTGGGAAAAGTATTCTCTTGGATGCTGAAACCTGAAAGACTTAGTTACCTTAAGCTATGATGAGTTCAAAGTGGTTTGACTATTTGTGTCAAAAGGTTCCTGATCCCTGCCCTGTCTTCTGTGACAGGGGAACTTAAAATTAAGCTTCTCTGTGCAGAGCCTGAGAATTTCTGGGCTTTACCTTTGACTCTTGTTTTATATTCTGTGCTGCTTCCCGTTCTGGAGAAGGGAGCAGCAATGTTTGCCGAGAGGCACTTCAGGAGAATGCTGATACTGGAGAGAAGTGGGACTGATGAGGGAGAGCTTGCTGTAGGCAGCATTTCCAATCCAATCATTCATTGCCATGTCCAAGCTGTAACATTTGAAAAGGAAGTCCCCAGATTTGGAGTCACCTGGGAGCTTGCTGGCTTGTGAAGCATGTGTTGGGTCCTAAGCTTAACAATCATATTTTGACTGAAGATGGAAAAGTCATTTAAATCCATGCCGCTAGTGGCTTACAGTGCTTTTTCCATTTTCAGAAGTGAAATCTTTTCATCAGAGTGACAGCAGATTACATGCAGAAGTAGCTGTAGTAACAGCATTCTGGTGTTTGTGTGCACATGTGCTTGTGTTATATAAAACTGTAAAATCGCACATAGTAAGGACCAAAATCCACAAATAATTCTTAAATGACACCAAGCAAATTTTAACTTGAATGCAAACTTTGAATATTTTATACCTTCACTTAACCCACCAATGTGACAATTTTTAATTTAAGAAAGCGCTAATTCCATTTAACAGAAATGGAAGACAGCTTTTGGGGCAGGAGGAGGTTGTTGCTTTGCACATTTAAGCGAGCATATGGCAAGCTGATGAATATGTATTTGGATATTTGGGGAGCTGGATGAACCTTCTAATAACGTATATGTAAACTTGCACTGTTTAGTTAATTTTAAATATTTTTAAAATTTGATAACTTTAAGTTTCCCTGCCAGTTTTGTGGTTTAAAACTGATCAGTTTTCCTCTTACATGAACTAGCCATATTGAAGAAAGCGAACTCCCAAATTAGCTGTGATGCACTACCCAGTTTTTACAGCCGGAAAAAGACAAGAGCAGCACTAGACATATGGTGGAGTTACAATAAGACAATACCCATTCCAAGTAATGAAACACAGACCCACGTAAGTATCATATGAACTGTACTGGTGAGATAAAGCAGATTGAACTTTATTTCAAAACCAACGTGCAGCAGACTTTGAGACTCCTATGCTGAGACACCTGTAGCTTTAAATGATGCTCTGGCCTGGTAAAGGAAGACTGAAAAGCTCCAGTACTTGACACCTGTATTGTTGTCTAATCTTCAGACAGGCCCTCTGAAGAACAGTAGTCACAGGGCAGTAAGAGCCTTGTGTAGTCTGAATACAAAAGGGCACGTGGGGTTCTGATACGGTTTTTGTATTATTTTTCTGGGTCCTGAGTGGTCAGGCTTTTCCCCCCTTTTTTTTTGGGGGGGGAGCAGTGTGCTACTCACAGTTGTATGAACATAATACAGTGAATGAAAGCTTTTCATATATAACACCTTTTCCCTCCTTCCTTTCAGATCTTGCATTTGTAGGGAGCCCCCCTCAGGAGTTTGAAGGGTGCACTGAGAGGGTGCAGTCTCCAGTGAAAAATGGGGGTGTTTTGGGGGCTTGCCAAGTGCTACAAAGAGGCACAGACAAGCCCCTGTGCTGCAGAAAAGGCAACAGATGCCGTGCTGTGCTGAGCAAGGGTGCTCAGTGACAAACCAGTCTTCCAGCTGTAAGACCTAATTCCATCAATGCCAGTGAATAGTGCCTTGTGGTTGGTTTTAAGCAGGCTGGGCACATGGTTACAGGAGGTAAGCACGGGGGCAGGCTTGTCGTAGGGCCACAGTGAAAGCCCTGTAGCTTTGCAAAAGCTTCAGTTGTAATGGGCAGTGCTAAAACTGGGGCTATAAACACTTGGTGATGCCACCTCCATTTTTCAGAAGGTCATGTTAGAAAACATCGGATGCTTTTATACAAACATTAATTATGACGGGCGAGTGGCACTGCCAGGCTTCAGACCTTGGCTGACCTCCTCGAGTCAGTCCGTGCGTCTGCACTCCTGTAACCTTTCTATATAGATAGGCTAACTTGAAAACACTGGAAGCACACCTAGATTAATTTCCCTAATTGTCTACTCCTACGCAGAATGATAATGTATAAGAATCCTGCAGAATTTATTTCATAATGAAAAAAAAAATATCTAGTGACCATTGATGAGAGTTGCAATCCCTGGCTTAGATGGAGATGACTGCATGCAGTACTGCATGTCTGCACAATGTCAGCTCCCCGCCTCATCACCCAGGGCTGCTCTCTCTAAGTACAGGCAGTTACCATGTTTGGTTTTGTTGGGAGGTGGAGGGGCTGAGGGGGAAAGACAGACAGGCTTCCAAATTTGTATCCTCTCATCATTACTAAGTAAGTGCTTTTTAAAAAATATTCAACATGTAGCAAAAAAACTTCAGTTCCCTGCACAAAGCTGAAGGCTTTGCCAATACTACTGCTGTATTCTTACTTTGTTTAGAATGTAGGGCTGCCTCCTGCTAACCTGAGTAGGAAGGAGAGTTTATAGCTGAGACAGAAACAAAACCGAAAGGAATTTACTAGTATGAGTTTGTCACTTCATAGTACTCATTCTTTCATTTAAACTTTAAATAAAAGATGTAAATGCAATTAAAGTACAGGATGTTGCACAAGACAGTAAGAAAGTGAAAGGTGTGAAATCAAGAATTTAAAACTAGGGAACATCACATTAAGGCCATGGATGTGTTACAGAGGAAGCTCATGCCAGAGCCGAGGGCAAATCCCAGCTCTGAGTGCATCCCAGGCCAAACAGAGGAGGAGCTCGAATAACCCAGTTCTTCCTTATGCCCACAACAGTGTAGGTAATGAGAAATAAATGGCTGACGGCACCATCCAGTACACGGGATTTCAGGCTTGAGCATAGAGCTTAGTTATCAGTGCAGAAGTGAGTTGTGGCTGTCGTTCACATACAGCACATCAAGGGTGGGGGACCAATACCTGCAGGTTCCACCCTGGGCTTCGTTCCACTCCAGGCACTAATTCCTCCCCTGCAGTACTGGTCACTGCACTGGGGTTCCCCCGCACTGGCTGAACATATTTTCTGATGAGCCAGAAAAGGAGACCCCCATTGCTGATGCTGTGTCTGATCACTAGCTGTGCTTGGAACCTGAGGATGACCCAGGTGAGCCCTCAGTGCAGGCACATACCACTGGCAGCACACAGCATTGCCCCTAAGGGAATGCTTGCTCCCACACAAATCCTCTTTGGGAAGGCTTTTGACAACAGTTACAAATACCCAGGCTGGATTTCCAGAGGTTGAAAATGTAGCAGATTTTCGTAACGGCATACCAGAACA